GGTAGATGGGATGTGCTGGGGTGGGTGGCGGGGCGGGGGGAGTGGTGGGGGAAGCAGGAGGCGCTGCCTGGCCTCTCCTCGGAAGCTCTGTGGGGTCCATTCCTGGGTGTGTGTGGAGAGTATAGTCTCTGTGCCCCCACTCAGACCTCATCAGCCCAAATGGCCAGAGCGGGTGACAGGCAGCCCTGGGCCCTTCCAGGCAGAGTGGCAGGCAGTAGAAGGCCTTGCAACAAGTCATCAGGAAGCCAGTCAGCTCATGCCAACGGCCGGCAGTGTGACAGGAGCGCGCCTTCTCTTGCCCTCGGCTTGCCCAGAGATGCAGCGGACTGGGGCTGAGCTGGCTGCTGACAGCCCGCAGCCCTAACAGTGAGCCATGAGGAGTAGAGGCCTGACCTGCCCCCCCCCCCATCCTCTCTCCTGCCCAGGACACCCACCGCCGCCACCTGGTGAGGAGGGGGCCTCAGGCCTGGCATGAAGCTCCTCCAAGCAGCCTGGCACCTGCCCCTGCTGCACAGGAGGCTCCTCGTCCTGCCGGGGGCCCCAGACCGCCCCGCTGTGGCGTGCCTGACCCACCTGATGGGCTGAATGCCCGCAACAGACAAAAGCAGTTCGTGCTGTCGGGTGGGCGCTGGGAGAAGACTGACCTCACCTACAGGTAGGGCCCTCCGCCATGAGCAAACTCTAGAACACTGTGTGTCCGTGTGTGTGTGCCCCGCCACCCTTACACCTGCTTCTTGAGGCACGCCAGATCTCCATGGTTAACAAACCTGTGTGTCCACTGGCCCCTGAGCCATCCATGGGCAACACTCCTGAACCCCAACCTAGATTATACACACAGACAGCACCCCTCCACACATATGCCCTCCCATGGCAGAGGGACAGTGCCTCTGTCAGCCCATGCCTGGCCTCCCCGCAGACCTGCTGGCGCACAGCTCTCGGTCATGCAGGCAGCTTCTATGGGCACCTACTAAGGACCAGGCCTTAGGACTCCATGGGGAATGAGGCAGCCACTACCTGTCCTCTTGGGGAGCTGGGTGTTGACCTTGTCCTTGTTCCAATCCAGCATCCTAATTCAGGATCCATGCAGGTGGGGAACAGGGGTGAGGGGACAGGTAATAGCTCAGGTGACCTGGGGCCCCTGATGCAGAAGCTGAAACTTCTACCTTGTGCAGATGGGGACTTGTTTGGGGAGAGAAGGCACATGAAGACTACTGTGGTATCAGATGGCACGGGAGCTGAGACTGTCGGGGGCCGCAGAAATGTCTTGGGTGGGAACTGGGAACTGAGAGAGGGCAGGTCAAAGGGCCAAGTTCTCCCCACAGTGATCGGTCCAGTCAGGTCTATAAGGTGGGTCTTGGGGCTCCTGGTCCGGTGTTCTTCCCACTGAATGTGGACACCTGTGTGCACCCACATCAGTGCACCACACCTGAGGCTCACCTGGCCTGTGTCCTGCATGCCTGCCACCCCCCACTGAGCGACCCTGGCCCAGTAGCCATCAGGGGCTGACCCTGCCCTGAGTGAGGCCCAGGCTCCTCCTTCTGCCCCCAGGATCCTTCGGTACCCATGGCAGCTGGTGCGGGAGCAGGTGCAGCGGACGATGGCTGAGGCCCTGAAGTTGTGGAGCGAGGTGACACCACTCACTTTTACTGAAGTGCATGAGGGCCGTGCTGACATCATGATTGACTTCACCAGGTAAACCGGTGGCCTGGAACCCCTCTGGGGACAGCCCCAGCTGTCAGCAGCTGCTGACTCTGCACCCCCCCCCACCCCTCCGCAGGTACTGGCATGGGGACGACCTGCCATTTGATGGCCCTGGGGGTGTCCTGGCCCATGCCTTCTTCCCAAAGACCAACCGAGAAGGGGATGTCCACTTCGACTACGATGAGACCTGGACTATTGGGGATGACCAGGGTATGGCCTGGGGACCATTTTCCAGAATGGGCAGCTGAAGATCAGAGAGAACGGGAACTTTCCGAGTCCCTGAGCTGGGGTGTCTGCTGCAGGAGGCCATTTCCCTTTTCTAGGCACAGACCTCCTGCTTGTGGCAGCCCATGAATTTGGCCATATCCTCGGGTTACAGCACACGACGGCTGCCAAGGCCCTTATGGCCCCTTTCTACACCTTCGGCTACCCACCGAGCCTCAGCCCAGATGACCGCAGGGGCATCCAGCACCTGTATGGCCGGCCCCGGCCAGCCCCCAGCTCCAGGCCTCCAACTCTGGGCCCCCAGGCTGGGGTGGACACCAACGAGATTGCACCACTGGAGGTGAGGTGCCGGAGGGTGGGAAGACAGGAGGTGAGGCCCTGCACCAGCTCTTCCACCCCCTGGTCTCTATGGCTCCAATGTGGACTCTTTCCTGGCCCTCTCCCCCCAACCGCCAGCCGGAAGCTCCACCAGACGCCTGCGAGGTCTCCTTTGACGCGGTGGCCACCATCCGTGGCGAGCTCTTCTTCTTCAAGGCAGGCTTTGTGTGGCGGCTGCGTGGGGGCCAGCTGCAGCCAGGCTACCCTGCGCTGGCCTCGCGCCACTGGCGGGGACTGCCCAACCCCGTGGATGCAGCCTTTGAGGATGCCCAGGGCCACATCTGGTTCTTCCAGGGTGAGTGGGGGCTATGCTCACATTTCCAAGAGCCAGGAGTGCCATAGCCAAGGGTTGGGACAGATGGACAAATATGATGGGCAGGTGCTCTGAATCCTCAGGGTCAAGGGAGAGCAAGGCTCACTGCTCTGGACACAGCTGGGAGCCTCCCGGAGGCGGTGGCTCTCAAGGTGGGCGTGGAATAGGACAGCTCTGCATTGCACAGTGGGCCACGCATTGGCCTCCAGCTCAGAGGGAGGGAAATGACTCACCTCAAGGCACAGCTTGGAAAAGGTAAAGCAGGGATTTGATCTAGGTCTGGCGACCCCGGAGCCTGTGTTAACTCGCAACTGGCAGGGAGCCTGGAGCATTCCAGGTGGCAGGGACTTCATAAACCAAGGCCCAGCCAGGACCTGCCGTGACAGAGCTAAGGCCCAGGGGGTGGTGAGCAGTCAGATGCCAGGGGAAGGAACGGGAGCCCGGGCACCTCTCTGCTACTTAGAATAACCTTTCTCACGTGGTGTGTCCCAGCGCCTGCCCCACCCCAGCTTATTCTGCCGACTCCAACTCCCCCTGCACTGAGGGTGCCAAGCAGGACAACGAAACAGGCTGGGGAAGTCTGTGGCGGTGGTGGCCGCTGGGCAGGCCCATGATGGCTGCAGTGTGGCAGCTGCACAGCCCCATCACAGCCTCCCTTCTCCGCAGGGGCTCAGTACTGGATGTATGACGGTGAGAAGCCAGTTGTAGGCCCTGCACCCCTCTCTGAGCTGGGCCTGCTGTGGTCCCCGGTCCACGCAGCCTTGGTCTGGGGTTCTGGGAAGAACAAGATCTACTTCTTCCGAAACGGATACTACTGGCGCTTCCACTCCGGCACCCGCCGTGTGAACAACCAAGTGCCCCGCCGGGCCACGGACTGGCGAGGAGTGCCCTCTGAGGTCGATGCCGCCTTCCAGGATGCAGACGGTGCGTTGGCGATGGGGTGGCTGGGGGAAGCAGTGCAGCAGCTGCAGCCGTTTTTCATCACAGGTCCTTTGTCCAGCACTCTCCCCAGCAAGCCCCCTTCTCGTGCCTGGGCAGGGCTACACCACGAGGTTGCAGATTAGACTGAGAGTCAGAGAGGTGCAAGGACTTGCCCGGGGCCCTTGGTCACGGCTGATAATAATGACCATCGCACACTGGTGACGCTCCGGACACCTCAGCTCCCTAAATGTCTCCCACAATTCTCGGGAGCTGTACCTGTTAGGAACCCAGTTTCCAGAGGAGCAAACAGAGGTTTGGGTGATGAGGTTCCCTAACTGAGGCCACCCAGGTGGACGGTGGGTAGCTAGGACCACCATCCAGGCAGGCCCTGCTCCCAACCATTGAGCCATCTGGCCTCTTGCCATCTCCAAGGACTAGGTTGGGGACTCACCGTCCAGTGCTCTCTCTCGTGCTCTCCCACACTGGGACCTGTTGGGAGAACTCTCTCTCGGTGGCCTCGGACTCTAGGTTGCCTATAGCACCCACAGGACTCAAGATACCCATATGTATCCGGCTGGTGGGTGCAGTGATGTGGAGGGCCAGTGAGGGGAGTGGGCCTTGCTTTCCTGGCAGATAGGAACTGGGCCTCCAAAGCACCCCCATCTGTCAGGCTGAAGGGCTCCCCCAAGGGAAAAGAGGTTCTGGAGGCCTGCAGATTCCAAGGGACTCAGCAGTGGTCAAGGCCTGCCCACCGGGACCTCCCCCTGTGCCCATCCCGTGGCACAGCCTGATGTCCACTCGCCCAGGCCTGACCCTCCTTTCTCCCCAGGTTACGCCTACTTCCTGCGCGGCCGCCTCTACTGGAAGTTTGACCCTGTGAAGGTGAAGGTGCTGGAGGGCTTTCCCCGTCGCGTGGGCCCCGATTTCTTCGGCTGTGCAGAACCTGCCAACACTTTCCACTAACCCTGGCTCGGATGCCCTCAGGGCCCCTGACCCTTGCCCAGCCGCGGACTTCACCTAGAGACCTGTGGCCATCTTTGTGACTGTGGGCATCAGGCATGAGACAGAGCCTGTGTCTCGTCAGACATGACAACTGCAGACAAGGCCACGCGGGTCGTGGTCACCTGCCAGCAACGGTCTCAGACTGGGCAGGGAGGCTTTGGCATTACAAGTGGGGGTGGCATTGGGCCGGCTCTACCCAACCTGTGCAGGTCACCGTTGAACCTCAGGGAGCTGTCCTCGCTCTCTATCCCTGTCCCTCAGGAAAGGACCTCCCCTAGGTTTGCGGGAGCTGGAGCCCTTGCTCTGTCCCTGCTTCGAGGTTCCTGCAGGGGTGCTAGCACATGGATCCTGGGGCCCCATGGCCTTCTGCCCTTTCCTGAGACGTCGGCTTGGAACTGGCTGCCTTCCAGTTGGTGATCCTGGAGATCTGTTCCCCCGAGATCCGGGCCAGAAGGTCCAGAGTCAGCCGGGGAGCGGGGTGCTTCCTGCTGGAGACCCAGGGCTCTGAAGGCCCCAACATACCTCAATCCTCTCCTGGGCCAGACCCTCCCCATCCCCCTCATCCTAGCACTGAGACCTTCCAAAGCCATGTAAATATGTGTACAAAGCCTTTTTTTTTTTTAATTGAGGTTTCTCATTAAACATGGTCATGATAATTTCCTACCTGCTTGCCTGGGGTTTCTCTGTGATGGGGAGGCCAGGATGGGGGCAGAGCTGGGCTCGGGAGGTGGGAGGGCTGTCTAGTTTCACCACAGGGCTCAGCTTACTGTCAGGCACAAATCGCAAAGTTAAGGAAGGAATGGAGAAGGATCCTTCCCCTCCAACACTCATCTGATGCACCCGCCAAACCAAATAACCACCTGGACCCTGGAATCCTGCCAAGCCAGGGAGCCTTGGCTCATGCCAACACCACTCAGTGTTGTCATCCTGCCCACTCCCGCGGCAGGAACGGCTGTGGGCCCGGAACTGTTCCTAGGTGCCCTCTTATGTGTTTCCTGGGTGGGGAAACTGAGGCACAGGCACCTCGGGCCTCCTCCCAGCCTCCAGGCCTCACTTCCTTTCTCCTCCACTGGGTAGAGTGCCAGTCCCAGCTGTGAGACTGGGAAAGCCACCGCCTGAGTCAGGGCCTCTGTTGCTATTTCCATCTGTGAGAATTTCCCTCGGTATCTCCATTTGGGAAGCAGCCTGGAAGAGAAGCTTTTGGGTCTGGGTTCCTTTAAGAGACTCGCGGGCACGCGCCCGGGCCTTTTGTTTGGGCGGCGGCAGCGCGCGCGTCAGCGTCA